CGTTAAGATATCAACTGGACAAGGCTGACTCAATCGATGTTGATGATCTGATGTTCACACACACACCACCACACACCACCCAGAGCACAAGGAAAAAACTCAACAGCTAGTAGCTAGGAATGCGGACTTGTTTGCCCATAATGATCTAGAATTAGGTCATACAGATACAGTAACAATGAAAACTGACACTGATGACCATCCCCCTATAAAAATCAAGCCGTACCGTACACCACTTAACCAAAGGTAAGTAGTAGATAAGGCAATAAATGATATGTTAGATGCACAAATTATCCAGAGATCTAGGTCACCGTGGAGTTTCCCCATTGTTATAGTGGATAAGATACAGGGTGGTAAAAAGATTCTGGGTGGACTTCCGGTCTCTGAATGAGATCTCAAGACCAATTTCAACCCCTCTGCCGCTCACTGATGACATTCTTACGCAGTTGGGGGACTCTAAGTACTTTACAACCCTGGATCTTAAGTCGGGCTACTGGCAAGTATTGATGGATGAGAAGGATAGGGAGAAGACAGCGTTTGCATGTCACAAAGGATTATTTGAATTTTCCGTGATGCCCTTTGGTCTTCGCAATGCCATGTCAATTTTTATGGAACTAATGAATGTTGTTCTGGAAGGCCTAGAGGCATTCGCAACAGCCTCTTTGGATGACATTCTTACATTCTCAAAAAACTTAGAAGACCATATGAAGCATATTCAGATGGTGTTTGACCGCATCAGACAACACAGCCTAAAGCTCAAACTCTCAAAATGTAGTTTCGCAAAAACAGAAACCAATTACCCAGGCAATCAAGAGGTTATCAAGCCTATTGGGGATAAAGTTGAAATAATTCGATCCATGAGAACCCCAACATCTGACCTATCCAGAGCAAAACAGATGCAAGTTACAGCTGTCAAGGTGTTTGTTTAGTTCAACAGTGTGAGGATGGTGCAGAAAAACCTATACATTTCCTGTCGCACAAGTAGAGCGACACTCAGATTCGATGGTCAACAATCGATAAGGAAGCCTATGCAATTCATGTTGCTTTGTAAAAAACTGGACCATTATTTACATAATGCAGAGTTTGTGGTAAAAACTACGCTACTACAGTATTTGCTTGAATCACCAATGCAGAACAAGAAAGTACAGAAAGAACAGTCCTCAAAAAATTAGCAGTATGGTCGCTAAGTACCGGTTGGAAAATCATGTGTTAGCTGCGAATGCTGAACGTACTAAGTATACTTTATTGAAGAACTCAGAGGTCGAAACATGTACCCAGCCTTTAACGGGATACTGCCATATCCAAAGTCCCATATTCCCTATCAACTTGAGTCAGCTTTGCATAGTGGCCCTGTTTATGAAAAATAAAGATAACGTCAAGCAGACGTGTCGAACAGAAGTGATGCCTAATGCCACTTTACCGAGAGAAGAATATTTCACAGCTGGTCTCTGGATAGACACTACCGATAAGAGGTTAGATTTCGCTGTCGTGTGCGGAGAAGATAACTCATATTCCAAGACTTTAACAATTTGTTCACCTTTAGAGATACAAGTAATCAGATTAAATGCCTCATGCTCCTCCTCGAACAATCATCTATCCTTACTTCCATATTACCAGAACGAAACTAAATATGAGTAGGAGGATAGTTTCCTTCATTTACTTCATAGCCCAAATGTTTCCAAAATGTTACTATGGGAACCCTTTGTTCAGACTGTGCGAACATTAGGTCTCACGAAACTACCCTCCAAACTGAATCGAATTGAGAGCATTCCCATGGGCCACCTGATCGAACTATTATCTAATCTGAAAAATATAGATGTTGATAATGAGACGGTAAACTAGAAGTATCTAGTGGGGTTAATTGTTCTTATTATAGTAATTATACTTTGCACGGTTATATATAAGAGATTAATGAAACCCTGGCTGGCCTAATGGAAGAGGGATAAGAACACTGACTTGTGATGACTGAGTTGGAGATGGTGTCAGTAGATACTGAAGGCGAATGTCACACTCACAGAGGAACGCTACGCTCTGCACCTCTCGGGACCACAGAGAACCTGGACCGGCTAGAAGATGACTCACTGTAAGGAATCTATATCCGAAATTGGATGGTGTAACACAAGGCCGAAGTATTGAAAACCTGACTTCTGGCGTGGCAAACCAGTCGACTGCAGGGAACAGGGCAACAGTGAATCTACAGTGATACTGGTTTGTGCAAGTGGATTCATAAACATTGTTTCCGGAGAACTGTTTACTATAGGGGAACATTACATGTGTGTGGGCATGTTGCCTGTGCTCAACACGAAATGATATCAGTGAACGGTCAGTGGACGCATATGTAGGCACAATGCGGATTACTAACGACGGTAATATCCATCACCTGTTGATTGTGACTGTAGTTATATTCTATGATTCATGATAATTGAATAACAGTAGAATAAATGGATTCTCCTGGACGATCACTACTCTATATTCTATTTCAACTTAGTATGTAACACGAGTTCTGATTGGTCAATGCTATAAATTTCCGACCGTATAATCAGCATATACGGTCGCAATTTGAAAACCGATTCACCGAAACCTTACACTATTGGGGTAACGCTGTTTCGCAGGACATTGTTATTTGCAGAAGCCATTGGTCAATTAACTCCCCTATCCAGCTAAAATGGGTGGAATTTGTGTTAAAAAAGACAAAACAGTATCATAAATTTAATTTTAAGTTCAAACAACTTACTCGCAACGGGCTGTTGACCCAACACAGTTAGATCATGAAACAAGGTTTATGACGTCATTATGGAGCGTGACGGCACCTGCTATGACGTCATTTGACAACAGAACTGATAATGGCCCGTAGTTGAGGAATCAGCGGGCCGCTCATTTCTGTAACTAGAGGGCGGTTTCATCATAATACCGTCCATTTTATCTATAATACTATGATCTATTCATCATTGTCAAATTTAGTCTGTGTGCACATAATAAACGTGTGTAGTTTGAAAAGGGAACTCCTTTCTCTGGCGATGGTGTAAGGTGAAGGAGTGATATGATTAACCTTTGACCTAGAGGAACTTGGACCTGGTTTAAATAATTAATTTCTTTCACGAAAAAACAGCGTAAAACGAGTTGAATTAGAATGGGGATAACTGTACTGTGTTTGACGATATAACTAAATTTGCGGCTATATAACCACCGGTATACGTCCCCAATTCGTCAAACACAGTACAGTTATCCCATAAGTAACATAGAAAATTTATATTGACAAATTTTCTGATGAGAAAAGGGCGAATGTAACACTTTTGTTTGTGCACACTTGTCAGCGATATGTCTGGACACTTGTCAGCGATATGTCTGGACACTTGTCAGCGATATGTTTGGACACTTGTCAGCGATGTGTTACTCACAGCTAAACAAAATATGGCCATCCAGGTAGAGTACGGACGTGAGAATTGCCGACTAATCAAAACATGGCCACCTGGGCAGATCATGCCAGTGGAACTGCTGACTAGTCAAAAATGTTGCAAGCTAAGAAAATTGTTTATCTTTTATGTGCATATAAAAGCAGGGAGGATAAACCAGAGCCGGCAGACAGCGGGAAGGGCGTGGACAGACCAGCAGAAGAGGCAAACCTGGGACTTGAAGGGACGAACTGACCAGCCAATCCAGCCATCTACTGCCCCTGGTAGCATCTGCCGGACTCTGCAAGTTGTGTACTAAGAGTTCGCCCTATTTCACAAGTGTACTCAAGAAATAAAGCTACCATTCTTTGTACGACACTGCGTCTGGTGTTGACTCAAGTCCTCGTCTGGAGGTGTTACACTATTAAGTCAACCAGGTCACATGTTCCACATACTCTATTAAGTCACCTTCTACAGGCAGCATATGCTTCTGGGGGGAGTTCCTATACCGGAATCTCCACGGTATGAAATAACCTTTCAGGGTACCCGCTGTAAACATGTCCGTCTAAGTCAGACACATGGAGAATGAAGCATAAGGTTTATGGAATGCATTTTACCGAAAAAGGAGAGTATTTCCTTTTGATGATGTTCAAGTCTCCACAAAAGTGTGTCACAACAGAGACAGAGGCACCTTCTTCTGAAACTGTCCAAAGCAAGGCGAACCCAACAAACTCAAGCTAATAAAATTAACGCTCTGGACTAACTGGTAAAATACGCGTTGGTAACATCAATTTCAAGGAATGTACTTGAATTTCTGTGATATTGTATGTTTCCTCATCCAACAACAGACACTGTACAAACTGTTCCTGGTTTGTCGAGAAGATTGGCGCACTGTCAGTCGGAACCTTTTGGAACCTTTCACATGCGAGGAGGTTATCTTAGACACGGATGACACACATGTTGACATGTTGAAGTTTCAATGAATGTGGAGGTTTGAACGTGGGCCAAAGCGTCATATTTGTAGGGTGCTTCAATCACTTTATTTGTCAGAGAACAATTTACGGCATAACTGAAGCAGCTTTAACCATAGTGAAACGACATCAGTCGGAGAAATATTCTGCATAGAACTGCGATCATTTGCTGAGTAACGTTCTACCATGTAGATCCTCTTGCACTATTTGACATGATCACACAGTAACAACAGCTAAGGGTGTGACCACGGCCAAGATATCTCTCAGCCAGACAGTAACCAAGTGAAGTGTCTTTTCTGGGACATTTCTGGCATTGTGAACAAACTTGCTGACCTTAGTTTTATCTCATTTCTAAATCAGTTTGATTTCATAGGTCTAAGTGAAACATGGGTAAAATCCTGTGAACCATCTAAATAGCCCAGCCTCATTCACTTTGGATCCAGCATGCTTTTAGGTTGCTTGGAACTGGGGACCCCAACCCAAGACGACACGCCCTGATCCCTTAGTGCCAAACCTTCCCATGGATGTACACGAGGTTGAGATGGCAAAGAAGCAAAAATTCTTTCCCAAAACCAAGGATGAAAACTAATGCAAAAGTCACTAATTTGCGGCTTCGTCTTCTGTAGATGTTACTACTTACTCTCGATTGCAGGACTTCGTCAATCACGTGACCAATCGTGTCAACCAGGAAGTCACTGGGGAAGTAAACTGTCAGCATGGAACTGTCGCCATCGGGAACTTCCGGTAACACGTTCAAACTCGAAGATGGATCGGAGCGAGCCTGGTTTAAAACAAATCAGAGCATCATGTTACAAAGCACATTATAACCAAATGTTGGTGTACATTTTAGTTCCAGAGTGCAAGGCTAATCAGATAGTCAAACTGCCAATGGGTATTTCTTAACCATTATATGTTCTGTTCTCGAGATGATATTCCGGAGTGATCCAGTGTTTCTCCTCGCTATGCAGAATTGTTGCCCTTGCCTGTGCCAGGATGGCGGTACTCAAAATTCGAATTGCTATGCTTTTGTACATGTACACACATTATGATGCCCTGTTAGGATATGACTTGAATATTTACTCCAACACCTACTTTAAATGGACGACAGTGTATTTTCAAAGTGTTGGAAAAAAGGTCTTAAAAATTGAATGATTTCGAATCGATCTCACCACTTGCCGAATTTGGCACAGCTTAGGGACATAATTCTTTGAAGAGACTGAATTGTTGCCCGTAATGAAAAATGGGTTAGATACATCTGAATGGTGTTGACAAGCTTAATCGGGGATGGGAGGCACAGGCCCTCGTGTCTTTGCAAGGATTAAAGATTTTGAAAAAATATACATAATTTACAGAGGGCTTGCTTCGACCACACCCCCGTTTTGTCCGGACATATCGTCATCCATTTGTGTCAAGATCGTTTAGTTGATGGTCAAAATCTGGTTTCAATCGACTTGCAGACATAACAATAGAGAATTGATAGGTGTCATGAGTGGTGATCGATAGGCCAATCATCCATGATTATGTTTACATTAAGTATTAATCGATTGCATGCGATGGTAGCGTAACGATCGACAAAGCAGGCGGGTGGGGTACACCGAAGTGTCCGGCCTTGTCATAATGTATTGCTCTGTAAGGCATTTCGAGTCGGGGGTCATCTCAAAAAATTATTTGTCTTAATCTTTGATCATCGCAAAGACACGAGTGCCTGTGATGGGAGGTGGAATTGCCCCCACAACCATAGGTTTTCTTGTGTGGTCAGGGGACGCAACTCTCCATAACGAACTGCGGCGCCTATTGGCGAAAACGTTCAAACGACTCTTCAGTCTGTGCATTCCCCATTTGCAATTGGAAAGGTTCAGTGTATGGAGCCAATGTCTGGTCCCCTGCATGATACTGCTTCAAGAGGCGTAAGACTATACTCATTCACATACTATTCCACAGGTTCCCAACAACACATGTTTACCTGATATCCTACATATAGTTGAGCGTTCCTTATCTCCAGGGAATATGGAATCATGGTGCCTTCTACTGTCATCTCAATTCCAGATTTTTCTAAAACAAAACCTTATAATTATTCTTCCATTAACATTGGCAAAGATTAGCGAGATTAAGTATACACAGCATTTTCATATGTGGACAAACCCGATTTCTTTTCTTCCCTCCTAGTCTGTTTACTAATTCAAGAAAGTCAACCCTTTAACACAACAAATACTGTCGTCATTTCGGGCGTCAATCGATGACTATATTCGTATGACTTCATTCTCAATGTTGAAACTGCGGTGTGGTATCTCACTGGATTAGCACAGTGAAACCCAGACAGGCCGACTAAAACCCACACAAACACCCACACCATCGCGTGTACACATCGCTGGAAGTTGAAAAGTCTTCAACGAGATTTAAAATCTTATTTTAAGGCATCTCACGTCTTTTTCGGCTGTGGCGTCTATACACTAACAGTTCCACCTTTCTTGTCGAATGGTTTCAAAATTTGTTTATATCAAGTTTCAAGTCGAAATATGAGTAGAAATCAATTTTCTGATGGCCAGGTATATCATTCAGTATATCATATCAGAGTAATTTTAACAATGTCATAAACGAAACATACCTTTTACCCCAAACATGAACAACGGGTTTTTTGAGTGAAGTCGTGTTATTCCATTGCATATCTGAAATGCAATTCGTTTACATTCAGTTTTTCATCATCTGGAAGATGAAAATTGTCAAATTTAAAACGCAGAGCTATTTAAACCACTTCTTTCCCGATGTACAAATGGAACTACTTATTGCACGTGCGTGCGAGTTTGTGTACGCCAGTAATATTCCGGAAATCGCATTCATCAATATTCCCCTTTATATACTGAGTCAAAAAGAAACTTCACAAAATGTAATTTGAAAATAATGAATAATTTTTTCTGATGATACATCTATGTATCCGAAATGGGATCCCTATCTTTCGACTCTAGAAAATCGTTACCAAAACCCACTCCAAACCCATCCATTCGTCGTGCAAATGACGTTAGTGCCAAATCAGGTTTTGCACGTGCAGTCGATCACGTGATCTTCGCATCGAAGTTTTCTTCATATGCACGTGTTTGCATTGGCCTCAAGAATTGAAAAACACTTTAAACCACAGTTCTAACGGTTCTTGAAATGCCACGATTGTCAAATGTGCAACGTGGAACGTGCCGTTGGCATGTTGCAAGCAGGAATATCAGTTATTGACGTCGCAAGAGCAATGGGATGCAGCCGTCGTAATTGTGTATGACAAACTGGCACCACTTCTGATCGCCCAAGGTCGGGTCGTCCACGTGTGACGTCACGAGCAGAAGAACGTCAAATCGTCCTACGTCACCTACGTGACAGATTTCTGCCGGCTACACGAACCAGGGCTGAAATGTTTAGAGGTCGACTGTCCTCACAGAACATTCGAAATCGGTTGGGGCTGCCAATCTCCATTCTCGAGGTCCATATCGTGGGCCAATATTGACGCCGTTTCATCAACGTCAACGTCTGCTGTGGGCCAAACGTCATCTCCGATGGACCCAGAGAGACTGGAATCGAGTCGTCTTTAGCGATGAATCCAGGTTTACCCTCAGATTCGCGGACGGCAGGCATAGAGTCTGGAGACGACGTCGTGAACGGTATGCCCAATGTTGTGTACAGGAAGTCGACAGATTCTGGGGGCGGAAGTTGCATGGTGTGGGTGCTTCTGTGGGAACAACCGTTTCCGACTTCTGGTCATCCGTGGAAACCTCACAGCTGCTGCTTACCGCGACCAGGTGCTCACCCCTGAACTCGTTCCTTTCATGGCGGCTCATGGCCCAGGTCTACAGTTCCAGCATGATAATGCTCGGCCGCATACCGCGATGTTGACACGAAATTTCCTTCAAAACGCTGGAATCAACGTCATGGACTGGGCATCGAGGTCCCCTGACCTTAATCCAATAGAGCACGTTTGGGATGCACTTGGGAGAAGGCTTCGTGGTCTTAGGAACCAACCTCAGAATTTGCAGGAACTTGGCGCTGCCTTGCAAGAGCAATGGCGCAGAATCCCCAACCACGTGTTCACAAGCATCAGGCAGTCGATGAGGAGACGGTGTTTGGCAGTGGTGAATGCAGGGCGGGGCGGCCATACACGATATTGAACTGAGAAATTTCGCATTTTTAGATGCTGTTGGAATTAGGATATCACGATGCTGTGAATGGATATATCCGATACGATGCTGTGAATTAGGATATATCACGATGCTGTGAATTAGGATATATCACACGATGCTGTGAATTAGGATATATCACGATGCTGTGAATTAGGATATATCACAATGCTGTGAATTAGGATATATCACAATGCTGTGAATTAGGATATATCACGATGCTGTGAATTAGGATATATCACGATGCTGTGAATTAGGATATATCACAATGCTGTGAATTAGGATATATCACAATGCTGTGAATTAGGATATATCACGATGCTGTGAATTAGGATATATCACGATGCTGTGAATTAGGATATATCACATGCTGTGAATTAGGAATCACATTGATATATCACAATGCTGTGAATTAGGATATATCACAATGCTGTGAATTAGGATATATCACAATGCTGTGAATTAGGATATATCACAATGCTGTGAATTAGGATATATCACAATGCTGTGAATTAGGATATATCACAATGCTGTGAATTAGGATCTATCACAATGCTGTGAATTAGGATATATCACAATGCTGTGAATTAGGATATATCACAATGCTGTGAATTAGGATATATCACAATGCTGTGAATTAGGATATATCACAATGCTGTGAATTAGGATATATCACAATGCTGTGAATTAGGATATATCACGATGTTGTGAATTAGGATATATCACAATGCTGTGAATTAGGATATATCACAATGCTGTGAATTAGGATATATCACAATGCTGTGAATTAGGATATATCACAATGCTGTGAATTAGGATATATCACAATGCTGTGAATTAGGATATATCACAATGCTGTGAATTAGGATATATCACAATGCTGTGAATTAGGATATATCACAATGCTGTGAATTAGGATATATTATTAGGATATATCACAATGCTGTGAATTAGGATATATCACAATGCTGTGAATTAGGATATATCACAATGCTGTGAATTAGGATATATCACGATGCTGTGAATTAGGATATATCACAATGCTGTGAATTAGGATCACAATGCTGTGAATTAGGATATATCACAATGCTGTGAATTAGGATATATCACAATGCTGTGAATTAGGATATATCACGATGCTGTGAATTAGGATATATCACGATGCTGTGAATTAGGATATATCACGATGCTGTGAATTAGGATATATCACAATGCTGTGAATTAGGATATATCACAATGCTGTGAATTAGGATATATCACAATGCTGTGAATTAGGATATATCACGATGTTGTGAATTAGGATATATCACAATGCTGTGAATTAGGATATATCATCACAATGCTGTGAATTAGGAATTAGTGAATTATATACATCACAATGCTGTGAATTAGGATATATCACAATGCTGTGAATTAGGATATATCACGATGCTGTGAATTAGGATATATCACAATGCTGTGAATTAGGATATATCACAATGCTGTGAATTAGGATATATCACAATGCTGTGAATTAGGATATATCACAATGCTGTGAATTAGGATATATCACAATGCTGTGAATTAGGATATATCACAATGCTGTGAATTAGGATATATCACAATGCTGTGAATTAGGATATATCACAATGCTGTGAATTAGGATATATATGCTGTGAATTAGGATATATCACAATGCTGTGAATTAGGATATATCACGATGCTGTGAATTAGGATATATCACAATGCTGTGAATTAGGATATATCACAATGCTGTGAATTAGGATATATCACAATGCTGTGAATTAGGATATATCACAATGCTGTGAATTAGGATATATCACAATGCTGTGAATTAGGATATATCACAATGCTGTGAATTAGGATACATCACAATGCTGTGAATTAGGATATATCACAATGCTGTGAATTAGGATATATCACAATGCTGTGAATTAGGATATATCACAATGCTGTGAATTAGGATATATCACAATGCTAGTGAATTAGGATATATCACGATGCTGTGAATTAGGATATATCACAATGCTGTGAATTAGGATATATCACGATGCTGTGAATTAGGATATATCACAATGCTGTGAATTAGGATATATCACAATGCTGTGAATTAGGATATATCACAATGCTGTGAATTAGGATATATCACAATGCTGTGAATTAGGATATATCACAATGCTGTGAATTAGGATATATCACAATGCTGTGAATTAGGATATATCACAATGCTGTGAATTAGGATATATCACAATGCTGTGAATTAGGATATATCACGATGCTGTGAATTAGGATATATCACAATGCTGTGAATTAGGATATATCACAATGCTGTGAATTAGGATATATCACGATGCTGTGAATTAGGATATATCACAATGCTGTGAATTAGGATATATCACAATGCTGTGAATTAGGATATATCACGATGCTGTGAATTAGGATATATCACGATGCTGTGTGAATTAGGATATATCACGATGTAGTGAATTATGCGATACCATCACGAATGTACCAGATGAATTAGTGCAACTGAAAGTCAACCTTACCGCTAGCGCTACAATCGTTTTGAGGAACGGGGCCCTGGGTTTTTTACCACATATTTTGAGTACAATTTCTTGTTTTCAAACAGTGAATAAAAACCAGAAACACTAACTTATAAGTAAATATTTAATTGCAACAAAGAAAGTTACCTCTAACTGAATACTGAAATCATAAATGAGGAAACTTGGGAATGGCTTAATTCGAAACCGCGTGTGAGAAAATATTTCAATGTGATCTGCACGACAATGAGCAAGATTTCATTTATCATACTAAGTATTAAGTCTATATATATTATCACAAAATAAATATTTCTTTTGTCACCCGAGGCGATTGATATTTAGTGAGTCTGTTTCTTCGTCTCATATTCCAGTCGCCGTTGCTCACAGTTTTTAAATGTTTGTTGTTCGAATTAAAGGTGTATTCCTTTTTCGTTTCAGCGGGGAAGATGAACTTCAGGATGTAGAATACTTTATATTACAACCAATTTGAAATTTCAAGGTTTGTAATCGTACTATGCCCTCGTAAGTCTTTGGTGCTTCTACTGACATAGAAGAATCCATACCTCAAGTAGTTGTCTTACCTATAATGTACTTTAGGAATCCAGGGGACTGGCAAAATCCCAACCGGACAAAATCCCACCCAGACAAAATCACATAGGACAAAATGTCTTTGGACAAAATCCCACACCAAAATAACCAACATAGGACAAAATCCCAATATCATGTTTTCATGAATGAGTTAAATGAGAGACATTATGAGCTGAATCATGTTATTAGTGTTTATGTGCATATTGTCAATAATGTTTATTTATGAGGCAAAATAAAACCTTATCATCCAAAAACTGTGATCCAGGGGAGATATTGGTGTGTGAGATCAAACGATATCTCAAAGGAGATATCCTTGACATTAGATTTTGTATAATGTCCTGATACAATGCTATGACGTCATGAACTTGAGGACGTCACAATGCTATGATTTTGCTGCATTGCAGGTGTAAAGGCAAGTACTGTGTTCAGACATGTACAGTTCTCATTGAAAAACTAAAGAAGAGGATTTGTATGATAAATAGGAACTCACCGTCGTGTCTTCTGATATCAAATATATCAACACTCGTTGATAAAAGTCAAAAAATAGCCTTGGCATTTATAATTTCGGACGTATTTGATATGAAAATTCTATCGGTGAGATTCCCCTGTCTCTATTTCAAAATAAAGTAGCATGCCATTTTTCACACTGATGGATTTGCCTGCAGTGTTAGGACGACATTTTGTCCTATAGGATTATGTCCGGTTGGCATTATGTCCTACCCTGTAGAATCCATACCTCAAGTATAGTCTTACCTATAATGTACTTTTAGGAACAGTGTAGAATCCATACCTCAAGTAGTCGTCTTACCTATAATGTACTTTAGGAACAGTGTAGAATCCATACCTCAAGTAGTCGTCTTACCTATAATGTACTTTAGGAACAGTGTAGAATCCATACCTCAAGTAGTCGTCTTACCTATAATGTACTTTAGGAACAGTGTAGAATCCATACCTCAAGTAGTCGCCTTACCTATAATGTACTTTAGGTACAGTGTAGAATCCATACCTCAAGTAGTCGTCTTACCTATAATGTAATTTTAGGTACAGTGTAGAATCCATACCTCAAGTAGTTCATCTTACCTATAATGTACTTTAGGAACAGTGTAGAATCCATACCTCAAGTAGTCGTCTTACCTATAATGTACTTTAGGAACAGTGTAGAATCCATACCAGAAGTAATGGTCGTCCAAGTAGTCGCCCTTACCTCAAGTACTATAATGTAATTTTAGGAACAGTGTAGAATCCATACCTCAAGTAGTCGCCTTACCTATAATGTAACTTTAGGTACAGTGTAGAATCCATACCTCAAGTAGTCGTCTTACCTATAATGTAACTTTAGGAACAGTGTAGAATCCATGCCCTCAAGTAGTCGTCTTACCTATAATGTACTTTAGGTACAGTGTAGAATCCATACCTCAAGTAGTCGTCTTACCTATAATGTACTTTAGGAACAGTGTAGAATCCATACCTCAAGTAGTTGTCTTACCTATAATGTACTTTAGGAACAGTGTAGAATCCATACCTCAAGTAGTTGTCTTACCTATAATGTACTTTTAGGATACAGTGTAGAATCCATACCTCAAGTAGTCGTCTTACCTATAATGTACTTTTAGGAACAGTGTAGAATCCATACCTCAAGTAGTTGCCTTGCCTATAATGTACTTTAGGTACAGTGTAGAATCCATACCTCAAGTAGTTGTCTTACCTATAATGTAACTTTTAGGAACAGTGTAGAATCCATACCTCAAGTAGTTGTCTTACCTATAATGTACTTTAGGAACAGTGTAGAATCCATACCTCAAGTAGTCGTCTTACCTATAATGTACTTTAGGTACAGTGTAGAATCCATACCTCAAGTAGTTGTCTTACCTATAATGTACTTTAGGAACAGTGTAGAATCCATACCTCAAGTAGTCATCTTACCTATAATGTACTTTAGGAACAGTGTAGAATATATACCTCTATAATGTACTTTAGGTACAGTGTTGAATCCATTACTCTATAATGTAATTTTAGGTACAGTGTAGAATCCATTCCTCAAGTAGTTGTCTTACCTATAATGTACTTTAGGAACAGTGTAGAATCCATACCTCAAGTAGTTGTCTTACCTATAATGTACTTTAGGTACAGTGTAGAATCCATACCTCAAGTAGTTCGTCTTACCTATAATGTACTTTAGGAACAGTGTAGAATCCATACCTCAAGTAGTTGTCTTACCTATAATGTACTTTAGGAACAGTGTAGAATCCATACCTCAAGTAGTTGCCTTACCTATAATGTAATTTTAGGTACAGTGTAGAATCCATACCTCAAGTAGTCATCTTACCTATAATGTACTTTAGGAACAGTGTAGAATCCATACCTCAAGTATTGTCTTACCTATAATGTACTTTAGGAACAGTGTAGAATCCATACCTCAAGTAGTTGTCTTACCTATAATGTACTTTAGGAACAGTGTAGAATCCATACCTCAAGTAGTTGTCTTACCTATAATGTACTTTAGGAACAGTGTAGAATCCATACCTCAAGTAGTTGTCTTACCTATAATGTACTTTTAGGTACAGTGTAGAATCCATACCTCAAGTAGTCATCTTACCTATAATGTACTTTTAGGAACAGTGTAGAATCCATACCTCAAGTAGTCGTCTTACCTATAAAGTACTTTAGGAACAGTGTAGAATCCATACCTCAAGTAGTTGTCTTACCTATAATGTACTTTAGGAACAGTGTAGAATCCATACCTCAAGTAGTTGTCTTACCTATAATGTACTTTAGGAACAGTGTAGAATCCATACCTCAAGTAGTTGTCTTACCTATAATGTACTTTAGGAACAGTGTAGAATCCATACCTCAAGTAGTTGTCTTACCTATAATGTACTTTAGGAACAGTGTAGAATCCATACCTCAAGTAGTCGTCTTACCTATAATGTACTTCAGGAACAGTGTAGAATCCATACCTCAAGTAGTCGTCTTACCTATAATGTACTTTTAGGAACAGTGTAGAATCCATACCTCAAGTAGTTGTCTTACCTATAATGTACTTTAGGAACAGTGTAGAATCCATACCTCAAGTAGTCGTCTTACCTATAATGTACTTTAGGAACAGTGTAGAATCCATACTTCAAGTAGTTGTCTTACCTATAATGTACTTTAGGAAAAGCTTAGAATCCCTCAGTAGGATCCGAGAGTCAATCCGAAAGTTTAATCTGAAAGATGAGTGAGTGGGTTTCGTTTTAACCACTAGTTGCGTAGATCAATGCTCATGCTGTTGATCACTGGATTGTCTGGTCCAGGCTCGATAATTTACAGACCGATGCCATATAGCTGGAATATTGCTGAGTGCGGCGTAAAACAACAAACAAACAATCAAACCGATTATACAATACATAAAGTTAAATTATAAAAAGCTGCCAACGAAAGACAGTAAGACATGTACATTTTTTATTAGTGTTGTTAAATATTCAGGATAATATTTTTTTTTATTACCCAAAACATCGTATTTTTTGCGGAAACTCAGTTTCGAATAATATTTTGAATGAAAATCATAGCCACAATTGAGAATAAACACATTTGCATATGAATGAGATTGCCTCGTATATTTACTTCAGACAACCGCCACTTACCCCCCAACGGAGGCCTGTCCCCTGACGTCAATCACCAGGGACTGTACTTTCCACTCAGCGTTGAACTCTCCATTGGTAACCTTTGACACCTCCACACGTGACGTCACTCCACTGGGGGAGTGGACGTCAACGCTGAAATGCAACCACTAGAATAAATTCACCTGTGTAATAAACCTCCTGTTCAAAAATAAGCTTTCTGAAAATACGTGCTGTTAGTTTGGGTTTAAATCCCTAGCTCCAGAACTGTTTTCAATTTTAAAAACATGTTTTTTAAACATATACAAAATTAAAAGTTCATTTTCGTAATGCGATTTTTTACTTTGTCGCCATTGCTACAGAACATGCAAGCTCGGCCTACTCACCCATATATCTGCATCTGTGAGGAGTTTCGGATGAGGTCAGAAAGGTCAAATACACGTTGGGGATACGTCTCCACTACCTGTGTGCTGACTGAAAAGTATGTATTAATTTCATTATTTAAATTCCATGAAATTGCAAGAAATTACAGCAAAGTGAACAGAGGAGGCAAGAGATCAGAGTTTCCGGATTGTAAATAAAGAACAAAAACAAATCTTCACTATTTGTAACCTACAGACATTCATTTAAATAACTTTCTCTTCGGCCAGCCTGCATAAACTACTTACTTGCAGATGTCCGTTTGTGGCTGCTCTTTATTACCGCATGCGGTTGTGAAATATGGGAAATAAGAAAGAACAGAGTTACATGTCCATTTGTTTCTCCTGAAGATAGCTCTATATCTTCTGCAAGGTATTTACATATAGACAAGGACTACACCATGCGGAGACTGAAACAAACCGCATCATCAAGAAGAATTGATGGGCGAAATGAGGTTCAACACGGCGTTCTGGATTATTGCACATTTTACATGCAGATGCTCGTCTATGTGGCTGCTTGTATTAGCATGGCACACCGCTGTTCAACATGTATACACCACTGTTCAACATGGGTACACCACTGTTCAACATGTGTACAACGCTGTATAACATGTATACACCACTGTTAATCATGGGTACAACACCACTGTAAAACATGGATACAACACTGTTAAACATGGGTACACACGCACTGTTAAACATGGATACACCACTGTTCAACATGGGTACAACACTGTTCAACATGGGTACAACATGGGTGCACCACTGTTAAACATGGATACACCACTGTTCAACATGGGTACAACACTGTTCAACATGGATATGACCACCACTAAACATGGATACACCACTGTTCAACATGGGTACAACACTGTTCAACATGGATACAACACTGTTCAACATGGATACACCACTGTTCAACATGGGTACACCACTGTTCAACATGGATACACCACTGTTCAACATGGGTACAACACTGTTAAACATGGGTACAACCACTGTTCAACATGGATACACATGGGTACAACACTGTTCAACATGGATACACCACTGTTAAACATGGATACACCACTGTTCAACATGGGTACAACACTGTTCAACATGGATACACCACTGTTAAACATGGGTACACCACTGTTCAACATGGATACACCACTGTTCAACATGGGTACAACACTGTTCAACATGGGTACACCACTGTTAAACATGGGTACACCACTGTTCAACATGGGTACAACACTGTTCAACATGGGTACACCACTATTCAACATGGATACACCACTGTTCAACATGGATACACCACTGTTCAACATGGATACACCACTGTTCAACATGGGTACAACATGTTCAAGGAAAGATTTCACTGTTCAACATGGGTACCACCACTATTCAACATGGATAACACTGTTCAACTGTACAACGACACCACACTCTTGTTCAACATGGGTACACCACTGTTCAACATGGATACACCACTGTTCAACATGGGTACACCACTGTTCAACATGGATACAACACTGTTAAACATGGGTACACCACTGTTCAACATGGGTACACCACTGTTAAACATGGGTACACCACTGTTCAACATGGGTACACCACTGTTCAACATGGATACACCACTGTTCAACATGGATACACAACTGTTCAACTGTTCAAACATGGGTACACCACTGTTCAACATGGGTACAACACTGTTAAACATGGGTACACAACACATGTTCAAACATGGTGGATACACCACTGTTAAACATGGGTACACCACTGTTCAACATGGGTACACCACTGTTCAACATGGGTACACCACTGTTCAACATGGGTACACCACTGTTCAACATGGGTACAACACTGTTCAACATGGGTACAACACTGTTCAACATGGATACACCACTGTTCAACATGGATACACCACTGTTAAACATGGATACACCACTGTTCAACATGGGTACACCACTGTTCAACATGGATACAACACCACTGTTCAACATGGGTACAACACTGTTAAACATGAATTACACCACTGTTAAACATGGATGCACCACTGTTCAACATGGATACACCACTGTCAACATGGGTACACCACTGTTCAACATGGGTGCACAACTGTTCAAACATGGGTACAACAACTGTTCAACATGGGTACAACACTGTTCAACATGGGTACACCACTGTTCAACATGGATACACCACTGTTAAACATGGGTACACCACTATTCAACATGGATACAACACTGTTCAACATGGATACACCACTGTTCAACATGGATACACCACTGTTCAACATGGGTACACCACTGTTAAACATGGGTACAACACTGTTCAACATGGATACACCACTGTTCAACATGGATACACCACTGTTCAACATGGATACACCACTGTTCAACATGGGTACACCACTGTTCAACATGGGTACAACACTGTTCAACATGGGTACACCACTGTTCAACATTGGTACACCACTATTTCAACATAGATAATACACCACTGTTCAACATGGATACACCACTGTTCAACGCCGGGTTACACCATGGATACACCACTGTTCAACATGGATACACACCACTGTTCAACATGGGTACAACCACTGTTCAACATGGATACACCACTGTTCAACTATTCAACATGGATGCACCACTGGACATGGTATTTTCATCGTTCAACATGGATACACCACTATTTCAACATGGTTCAACATACACCACTGTTCAACATGGGTACACCACTGTTAAACATGGGTACACCACTATTCAACATGGATACACCACTGTTCAACATGGATACACCACTGTTCAACATGGGTACAACCACTGTTCAACATGGATACACCACTGTTAAACATGGGTACACCACTGTTCAACATGGATACACCACTGTTCAACATGGGTACAACAGTGTTCAACATGGATACCACTACTGTTCAACATGGGTACCACTGTTCAACATGGGTACACCACAATTAAACATGTGGATACCACTGTTCAACATGGGTACAACACTGTTCAACATGGGATACACCACTGTTCAACATATTACAACCACTGTTCAACATGGGTGCACCACTGTTAAACATGGGTACACCACTATTCAACATGGATACACCACTGTTCAACATGGATACACCACTGTTCAACATGGATACACCACTGTTCAACATGGATACACCACTGTTCAACATGGGTACACCACTGTTCAACATGGGTACACCACTGTTCAACATGGGTACACCACTGTTCAACATGGGTACATACACTATTCAACATGGGTACACCATCTGATCAGTACACCACTGTTCAACATGGATACGCCACTGTTCAACATGGGTACACCACCACTGTTCAACATGGATACAACACTATTCAACATGGGTACAACACTGTTCAACATGGATCTATTCAACATGGATACACCACTATTCAACATGGATACACCACTGTTCAACATGGATACACCACTGTTCAACATGGATACACCACTGTTCAACATGGATACACCACTGTTAAACATGGGTACACCACTGTTCAACATGGATACACCACTGTTCAACATGGGTACACACTGTTTCGTAAAACATGGGTACACCACTGTTCAACATGGGTACACCACTGTTAAACATGGATACACCACTGTTCAACATGGATACACCACTGTTCAACATGGGTACACCACTGTTCAACATGGGTACACCACTGTTCAACATTGATACACCACTGTTCAACATGGATACACCACTGTTGTTCAACATGGGTACAACACTGTTAAACACGGATACACCACTGTTCAACATGGGTACACCACTATTCAACATAGGGTACACCACTGTTCAACATGGGGACAACAGTGTTCAACATGGATACACTACTGTTCAACATGGGTACACCACTGTTAAACATGGGTACACCACTATTCAACATGGATACACCACTGTTCAACATGGGTACAACCACTATTCAACATGGGTACACCACTGTTCTGCATGGGTACACCACTGTTCAACATGGGTACACCACTGTTAAAACATGGGTACACCACTGTTCAACATGGATACAACACTGTTCAACATGGATACAACACTGTTCAACATGGATACACCCAACTGTTCAACATGGATACATCCACTGTTAAACATGGGTACAACACACTATTCAACATGGATACACCACTGTTCAACATGGGTACACCACTGTTCAACATGTTCAATACACCACTGTTTAAACATGGGATACACCACTGTTCAACATGGATACATCACTGTTCAACATGGATACACCACTGTTAAAACATGGATACACCACTATTCAACATGGATACACCACTGTTCAACATGGGTACACCACTGTTCAACATGGGTACACCACTGTTCAACATGGGTACGCCATTCTGATGGATACACCACTGTTCAACATGGGTACAACACTGTTCAACATGGATACACCACTGTTAAACATGGATACACCACTGTTAAACATGGATACACCACTGTTAAACATGGGATACACCACTGTTCAACATGGATACACCACTGTTCAACATGGATACACCACTGTTAAACATGGGTACACCACTGTTCAACATGGGTACAACACTGTTAAACATGGGTACACCACTGTAAAACATGGGTACACCACTGTTCAACATGGGTACACACCACTATTCAACATGGGTACGCCATTCTGATGGGTACACCACTGTTCAACATGGGTACACCACTGTTAAACATGGGTACACCACTGTTCAACATGGATACAACACTGTTCAACATGGATACACCACTGTTCAACATGGATACACCCTTGTTAAACATGGGTACACCACTGTTCAACATGGGTACAACACTGTTCAACATGGGTACAACACTGTTAAACATGGATACACCACTGTTCAAACACGGATACACCACTGTTAAACATGGATACACCACTGTTACAACATGGGTACACCACTGTTCAACATGGATACACCACTGTTCAACATGGGTACAACACTGTTAAACATGGATACACCACTGTTAAACATGGGTACAACACTGTTAAACATGGGTACACCACTGTTAAACATGGGTACATCATTGTTGAACATGGGTACGCCACTGTTAAACATGTATACAACACTGTTAAACATTGGTACACCACTGTTCAACATGTATACAACACTGTTAAACACGGATACACCACTGTTAAACAAGAATACACCACTGTTAAACATGGGTACAACACTGTTAAACATGGTTACACCTCTGTGAAACATGGATACACCCTTGTTCAACATGGGTACACCACTGTTCAACATGGATACACCACTGTTAAACATGGGTACACCACTGTTCAACATGGGTACAACACTGTTCAACATGGGTACAACAAAGTTAAACATGGGTACACAACTATTCAACATGGGTACAACACTGTTCAACATGGGTACACCACTGTTCAACATGGGTACACCACTGTTCAACATGGATACAACACTGTTAAACATGGGTACACCACTGTTCAACATGGATACACCACTGTTAAACATGGGTACACCACTGTTCAACATGGGTGCAACACTGTTCAACATGGGTACAACACTGTTCAACATGGATACACCACTGTTCAACATGGGTACAACACTGTTAAACATGGGTACACCACTATTCAACATGGATACACCACTATTCAACATGGGTACACACCACTGTTCAACATGGGTACACCACTGTTCAACATGGGTACAACACTGTAAAACATGGGTACACCACTGTTCAACATGGGCACACCACTCTGATGGGTACACCACTGTTCAACATGGGTACAACACTGTAAAACATGGGTACACCCCTGTTCAACATGGATACACCACTGTTCAACATGGGTGCAACACTGTAAAACATGGGCACACCACTCTGATGGGTACACCGCTGTTCAACATTGGTAGACCTCTGATGAAATATGGTTATCATTCAGGGTTTAGCAAGTCAAAGCTTTTATGGGTGTTATGATGCTGTAACTGACTCAAGTAAAGACTCCTGTGTACCCGACCCAACTTGAGTGTATGCAAAGCATATGCCTGAGTGTGCGCCCACGGTATAATCTACTTGCACATCCTTGTACAAATACCCGTGAACACATAAATCTCCTGTTGGAAGGGCAATTAAAAAGATCCATACATGTCTAGCAACTTAAATTAATTACACACAAGGAAGGATGTGAGTAATACATGTATGTATGCACAATGGGCAAAGATCGAAAAGCTTACCAAAACGCTATATACTAACTTCGTGGTAGTGCACTTCCAGAAACAAGGCAAGGGGCAGTTGGGAACGTCAACAGCACGTGGTAACATGGTAACATAGCGCTACGTTCGATTTGGTCATTTACGAGTATATAATCTTCTGATGCAGTAAGTTGGAACACGCTAGCCTCATATAATCAAACGTTAGATAGTATAATCGATTATGTAAACTAGTCCTGTAAACGAACCGATAAATATGTCATTGCAGTTACACCACAAGAACAACTTCTCAGCTCGATTCATCGATGGACTGACTGCTTGTTCAAGTCAACTCCATAAATAGCAAATATCACCACGTGACAACCCGATCTTAAGAAACCAATCAGTTCGAGATTGTTCAGACAAACAATGGTCAGTCAAAATCAAACCTGTTGCCATGGAAACGGAAAAAAACAATAAAACAAAAGCAAAAAAAAACCCTAAATAACAAACGTCACTTTCGGTATCCTGGTGTTTATGTGTGCACATTTTCATGGAAGGATACCAATTAGTTTAAGAGATATGGTCCGGACCAAACCTGACAACAGATTGAGTATAAGTGAGTTAGCACTTTTAGCAATATCTCGGCGGGGAACACGAGAAATGTGCTTCACACATTTTACCCATGTGGGGAATCAAACTCCGACCTTCGCCATGACGGGCCTCTTTAACCACAAGGCTAGCTACATGACCGTCCCGAATACGGACTGACAGACAGACGGCCTGACAATGTGATTACTACCACTATTATTACATACCAGGGGATAAAATTGAAACAGCACGTGTGTTTTTTTAAATAACATTTTTGTCAATGTATTCATGCAGCTACCGTGAAACCCAAAACGCCTGCTGAACCCTGGTTCAGGGGTCATAAAGTGCTGTTGAGGACCAAACATTCCAACATTCCCACGATCAGTAGAAATAATTATACTGGGGTACTGTCAGAGACTTCTGAGATAGCATCAATTACAATATATTACAGTTGTGAGTGAGCTTGGTTTACCGCCGTTCTGAACAGAATTTGAACTACACGGCGGTTCGTCGCCTTGATCTGAAAGTATACCGAAACTGATGGTGTGGACAACCAAGAACATCACTGACAATCGGGATTCGAACCCACAAAGGCTGTTTTTCTTGTTGTTTAAAGCCACACTCAGCAAATTTACCAGCTATATGACTGCGTTCTGTAAACAATCGTTCTGTCTGCACTAGACAATCAAGTGCATCAACCCAGTCAGCGAGCCTGACCACCCGATCCCGTTAGTCGCCTCTTACGACAAACACTGGTTACAGATGTAACCCGAATCGTCACGGGTTCAACCCACAAACAAATACATACTGTTTCTGTAAAATGTAAATTCAGTAAACAGCTACTGGAAATATTGTTCATCCAAATTATTTTATTGTACTACGAGTCGTACATCTTCAGTAAACGTTGTACAGGTGTCGTGGCCCTGAGCGATATTGTACGTTTTGTTGACAATTGCCACCGGGCTGTGTATCGAGAGTTCGAATTAGGGTTAAGTCACAGTTGGCTGTTACGTTTTTACAGGTAAGTGAGTGAGTTAAAACTTAATAGGTTAGATATCACCATATTCTTGATCGTGAGTTTCACCGAAGCGGTATACACATCAGACAATCGGCAAATATAGCTTACACACTGTGATACACCGGACACACTGTTGCGGCATAAAACCCAACTCACTCCACCATAAACAACTTACTTGTGTTGATGCCTTTCTCCGACACCTTCATCCACACCGTCGCCCATGTTATCCCCATACACCCCAACAACAACACCACTGACAGACGGACATCCATGACGGTGACCAGAGTTTCCTGACCTGCCGATCTGTCCCAAGTCCCCGCAACTGCACATGAATGAATCACACGACAATCACAAATACGAGTCTATCATTAGAGGTAAATGAGTCTCGCTGTCCTCATTAAAACGCCAAAACACAGTCGTCCCGCCCGAGGTTGTGTCAATAACGAGTACGGACTAAGCCGTCCTGAAGCTGTTGGCATACATGGGCCTGACAGCGCCAAGAGTGATGCGGTAACTACTGACAGGTGCTCGCTAATTTGGTAACTTGGTAACAGATAAAAGCCTATATTTTCTGTTTTAACGCTTATTTGAAGTTTCTGAGTCGACCAGAGTGACGTGAGTGTGTACGAAACAAAGGTTTGCTTATCCTCGTTGAGAAATTTAATGAACCAGTCAGTATTTGTTCACGTGGTGCATTGTTAGCGTGGGAGAATATGCTTGTAGATGTGCATGATGTGTTTATATTAAACTGGATATGTCATATCCATACCGTGAGTTGTGAGGTCTGAATGCGCTGGACGTTGTAGCTTCCGTGGCGTGGGTGGATTCTGACTGTTCGACTCCACGATCTAACCCGACTACTGTCTTTGTTGGTACCTCAGCGCTCCTCAGAAATCGGATTTGAAATAATATATATTCACTCACACGCACGCATACATATGTGATTGAAAGCATGTGTCAACCAAGTCATCGAACCTGACCACCCGATCCCGTTTTTCGCCTCTTACGACAAACATGGGTTACTGAAGGCCAATTCTAAAGCAGACCTGGCACGTACATAATGAAGGATACTATGTGATCACTTCATTTCATTGTACACCATTATATATTATTTTGATATTCCTAACGTGTTTGTTCCCGAGATCAGAGAGTTTTGTTCTTGGTTACCTTCGGATATTTTCCAAGATGGCGGCACTTCTGGTAACCCTGGCGCCTTTCTCCACGATGGAAGCACTTCCTGTTATGGGTAACGTATATGGCCTCAGACCACAATTATTTTCCTTCTTTGCTATCTACAGTGACATGCCAGTGCACCATAATTAATATCGGTCGTAGGCTGTTCTCCTGTTGCATGCTGACCAACCTGCCACTTGTCACTTAATCGGCAAAATATGAGCCTGGATCGACCATGTCGATTTTGCTGTATCCACTGTAAACAATGGTCACCGGAAGTTACGAGCCGAAACACACCAGACAGCCTTGAACTAGGGGTCAAATCAAGGAAGGCTGGTGTCAATACCATGAGTAGATTGTGGACCCAAAAAAATTTGCAATAAAGTACAATGTCTTACCTTTCATTTAAGCTATCACAAGTCACCCTGAAAAAATCAGCACAAGCAGAACAGACCATTTAAACAAGGCACTATATTCTCATATTTTACTTCCGGGTCATGGTAAAAGTTAAGGGGGGTAACTGTGGTCTGAGGCCATATGGTGATCGGTCATTTGACCGGATGCGGGGCCATGTTGACGGGATCTCGCTGGTAGGGACGGGAAACAACGAGACTCGGGCGGCAGGAAAGAGATAACAGATGGGCGGAAAGAGTGAGTGCGATGGAGAGAGGAGGTCTGAAGATGAAATGTCCCGTACACTTGTTGATCTGTATTTTTTATTATTCCCCTACATTAGGCCTACATGCAGATGTAAGACAGGAGGCTGTTGGGACAAAATGGAATCTATTGGTATTATTCGCGTAACACCGAGTACATATGAGTGAGTTACGTTTTACTGTCATATGGCAATATTTCAGCCATATCGTGAAGCGAGCAAGTTTTAAATTCACGATTAATATATATATATACTCTCTCCCAAAAAAGAAACGCATATAGGAATTTCAACTGTATTTTTATGTTTATTTTGAAACATCTTGCAGGCTTTATGAGTCAATGAAATATAGCGAAATTGCACACTGTGAATGCAGACTGGTCCGTCTTTGGCACCAACTCGAGGAAAGTCAGTTTGAGTGTCACATGGAGACGTGTGGTGGCGCTGAAGTCAATACCTCGTGTGACCACCGTGGGCATCCAGAACTGCACAGCATCGCCTCGGCATCGAACGAATAAGTCTCAGAATCTTGTGTTACCCAATCGCAGCCCACTCTGCCTGTAGTGCCTGTGCGAGTTGCTGAAGTGTCTGGGGCTGAGGGTTACGGCGTCGCACTCGTCTGTCCAGGGCATCCCACAGATGTTCGATCGGGTTTAAGTCCGGTGATCTTGAGGGCCAGGAGAGCACATTGATGTTGTGGTTCTGGAGGAAGTCTCTAGTGTGACGTGCTGTGTGGGGCCTGGCATTGTCCTGTTGAAACAACTCCCTCTGGCGATCAATGATTGGAAGGAGGTGTAGGCGTAGGATTTCGTCACAGTACCGTTGAGCTGTCAGGTTGCCCTGGATCATCACCAAATCACTTCTCCTACGGCAGGTGATCACTCCCTACATCATAACACTTCCCCGGCCGAATCTGTCCACCTGGGGAACGCAAGCGTCGGCGAAAAGCTCACGTCGACGTCTGTACACCCGCATTCTTCCATCACGTCGTTCCGATAGAAATCGTGATTCATCACTGAACCAGATTCTACGCCAATTCGGTAGGTTCCAGGCCTGAACGTTGGTGCACCATTGAACTCGATGTCGACGATGTTGTTGTCGAAGCACAGGGCCAAAATAAGGTCTTCTGGCACGTAAACCAGCCTCTCTCAACTTGTTCCTGACAGTCTGTGCAGAAAGCCTCCTCAATCCGGGTATTTGTCGAGCGGTACTGGTCGCCGTAGCTGTTCGATGACGCAGGTGATGTACCCGGATGTAGCGATCCTGCGCCGCAGTGGTCGCTCGAGATCGCCCACTACGAGGGGCATCTGCTACCGAATTCTGCCGGCAAAATCTCTCACAGAGCCGTGAAATGGTGCTTTGGTGAACATTCATGCGTCGGGCAACTGCACGTTGAGACTGGCGAGCTTCAAGCAAACCAATGGCCATATGGCGGCTGGCTTCACTTAGACGTGGCATTTTGCATTCGTCAACAATATTCCAAATACAGTGAATAATCGACAGACAGCGATCAACCTTTTATACCCATCACTGAGACTATCTGATCCCCAACTTTCACGTGCATTGCATGTGAATTGTGTATTCTGTGACACTACAAGCCGAAATTGAAATCATGCTGTTTTACGGATGGTGCGTTTTGTTGTGATGTTTCAAGACATAAACACCATAGGACTCATAAACAGAGCAAAAACCTTTTGTAAAATGAATCACGTTTTAATTCATTGCTACATGAAATTGCTATTTTCATGATGCGTTTCTTTTTTGGGAGAGTATATATTATAAAAAAAACTGTTAATGAGGGACAGTAAAAACACCTAGAATACCACAGATATGATATACATCTAGTATGTAAATCTAAACTACATGATCAACGACTAATTCGGTAGGGTTTCCGATGTCTGATTGGATGTTGTTTGTATTGCTGCTGCCGCTTTTGTTGTTGTTGAACTGGAGGAAGCCGTATTAATTGAAGGGTTATCCTATTCCGTCTTGATGTGAGTGAGTTACGATTTTTAAAAGTCACATCGGCGGTATTTCAACCATATCGTGACTAAAACAAGTTATACAGTTCATAATATAAAATTAATAAAGTTAAATTACAAAAACGAAGGACAGCACAAACGATATCACAGGCATAGATTCAATACGACAAAAATAGGCTATAGATCACCAACAACTGTAAGGGGATCACCATGCTAGGGACCATGGGGACTTACAGTGCTTTTGCTACCTGCATGGACCCAAGCTGGATTTACACAATCCTGTCAGCTATTTGCAATTGTGCTTAGAATAAGACAGAACTTAAAATGAAAATTATACTACGATTAAAACGTTTAATAGATCACAGTTTACTTCGAATGTTTTGGGATTTGCGTATCCTCTCAGGGGATACAACCACTAGCAATCTCCGCTGTTTATTTAATCCATCATTTATAAATAACATTGTGACATTGTCTATTCACAAAACATGCTACAAACAATCAATTCTATATCTTTTTAAAATGCAATGATTAAACGAAACTTGACATCATTAAAAAGGTCGTTCATTGATAACGCTTTGGAATATTTATCCCTTGTGGCGGAAACCCCAATACAATGAAGCAGGACATGCATGACTGTGCTTCTTAGGTATAATGACCTCTTCAAATCTGAACTGACAGCCCAAGTAGGTGTATCCGATGGGTGGTTTTATTTGATGTCATTTATTTATACCTACTTTTTGGTGCCACTGCTTTTGCATTAGATCACGGGTGTAAGATCTAATAACTGTATTGTAATATGTGTATGGGATGAGAAGTGGTGCTACAGATTTGTTGAGTGCTGCCTCAGCAGCAGAATTGGCCATTGTGTTACAGTGTTACCAGAAAATCCAACATTGTTGGTTAAACCAACAAAACACGATTTCCTATTGGCCAATAGCAAGATCATTATATTATTCGAAAGACAAATGTTTAATAGCCTGAAGGCGGAAAGAGAGTCTGAAAAGATTAGGTATAGTTTGTATTTACGGCGTTTATTAATATATTTAAGAGCTGTTAATATGTCGTTAGCTTCTGCTGTGACAATACAGCTGTTATCCGGTAATCGAGAAGATATTGTTCTGGATCCAATCACAGTGGCAATAAGCACCTACGCGACCATCCTTGGGCCCATATGTCAATATAGGCTGGTAAGCATCATATTTACTTTTTAACTGATTATATTCTTGCCTATGATGTAATTCGTTTGTTTCTGATTTTGTTAAGTCAACTTGTGGCCTCACCAATTGCCAGGGAGGTGACGAAAGCAGGCGAGAAGGAGATATACTCATAGGGAAAGGTTAGTGTGATCAACACATTTATTTGTATACATGAGAAAATGTTTATAAAGCATTTTCATATTCTTTATAATACACTTAATTCATAATCCAAACAGGGCCCATGTTTTGCATGTGTTTTTCGTGTTCTCAAGAAGTCCGTGAAAAAAGGCATAAAACGTGTCCTTCAAAAGTGTGGCTCATTGTCACCCAAGTCTTTGTTTAGACGTCGACGGGTCCGAAAATCACAAATTTGGCAGAATCTGCATGCACTTCTCTATGCCACGTCTAACTGAAAATGAAGATGGCGAGCCAATGGAAAGTTTGTAACCGTAACACCCCAGTACAATGTTGCACAGCAGATGAA